CTTTTCCACTGCCTCTTGCCACAGATGTAGTCAATCTGATTCCTATGTGTTCCATCTGGTGAAGTCCATGTGTACAGCCTCCATTTGTGTTGTTGAAAAAAGGTATTTGCAATGAACAAGCTTAGTTTATCCATTATCATTAAGGTCAGTTCTAGTCTGAGGAGGCAGCTCTTTCCCAGTCATATTTTGAGTGCCTTCCAACCTAAGGGGCTTGCCTTTCTGCATTGTATCAGACAATGTTTCCAGACTATTCATAAAGTTGCCTAGTGATGTATCAGACAGTGTTTCTCTGCTATTCATAAAGCTTTTTTAGCCAATTCTTTGAGAAGTGGATGGTCTCTTCCTTCTTACTAGTCTGTCTCAGTCTGTATGCCATGTTGAAACATGTGCACCATGCCCTGCTGGCATTTGAAACACCGGTGGCACAGCCTCAAGCCTCATAGCAGCATGCAAGCCACCAACAGTACGACAAATTGACAGACAAGTTTGTCTCCCTTAGCTGTTCGAAACCTATCCGCCGCCCTCCCCTTACTTGGATTCCATGGCTCTGTCTCATCTCTGGCTCACCCCCGCCTCCCCTGCCTCTTTGGAGTGGGTGTGGGGCCTGTTAGCGCCCTCCCATTACCTGGATCCTGCGGCTCTGCTTTGGTGATTTATAAGAGCTCAATTGAACGGTAGATCTTTATCTATTGAAAATAATATTTCCTAGTTTGTTGACTTTGTTTATGGTGATTTTTTTTCTGTGCTAAATTTTTTAAGTTTTACGCAGTCATTATTTCTAGATTTTGCTTAGAAGGTTTTCCCCCACCAAGATTTTGATAAAATCTCCCATGTTTCATTTAAAAAATAGATTTATGTTTTGATCATTTTTTTTTTCAGTCTCCCTGTGTATAAGCAGTCTTTCTTTCTCCCATGATCGCTCTTTCCAAGGAGTGTATCTACCTCAGGTACATGTTCATCTCATATGCCTGTCCTTTGCTTGGATGGAAGCCACACATGTGGGTTCAATTCCAGAACTGACGGGCAGCTGGGGCCATAGTCTCAGTGGTTCCACCAGGCTCTATCGGACCAGCAAACCTGGTTCCCCCACTTTTTTTTTTCTCCAAATTATTTCGAGTTTTGTCTACATTGTTCTCCCTCTCTATCCAGGATCTCCTACATAGATCCCCTTCCAAGTGGTTGACATTGGTAGCCGGGCACCATTTAGTTCTTCTGGTCTCATAGTCGTATAGGCTGCGGATTGCCTGGTGTACCAGTCGCTAGGATAGACTGTATGCTTTGATCACTTTTAACTTATTATGATATAAAGCAATGCAGTAGTGATCTCATTTCAAGCAATCTCACTTATACCCATAGTTTTAACTAGTACTTAACAGTGCTTGTGTCTTACAAATCTATTCCTCCAGCCTAGCTCTTTGCCAATCCCTGGACCTGTATATTCAGTTTCCCTCCAACTACATGTCCCCAAAGTACCTTACATATCTGTATTTAAAACTGAATCACCCCTAATAAATGACTTACCTCCTGCATTCCTTATCTTGGTTGAAAGCAACTGAGACACTCAAGCTAAAATCAATACTTCTTTTCTCATTTCCTACATCTCATCTAGTCACCATGATATGTTTATTTATCTCCTGAATGTTTTAGGAAGCCGTCCTTTCCTCTCAACAATATAATAACCACTGCCACTACTTTAGGAGCTCTAGTAGCATAGGGCCTAAGGCACCTGACTGCTAACCAGAAGGTTGGTGTTTCAAACCCACCAGCCACTCCTTGGAAGGAAGGTTCGGCCATCTACTTCCATAGTGATACTTTCTTGGAAACCCAATGAGGGGTCGCTATGAGTCGGGTACGACTTGACAGCACATGACAACAACAGCCACTACTTTAGTTTAAATCCACATAATTTTTGCCTGGTCAGTAGTCTTTCTCCCTGATTTCTAAGATTTCAGTCTTTCCCCTACTTCTACCCCATCCCACAGCCCCAACTACATTCCCCGGGGTCATTACCTAAACTATAGGAGAAACTAACCCACTCCACAAATGCAGATCTAAATCATGCCACTCCTCCACAAAAAAAATCCTTCAAGCTCCCTGTTATCTGCTTCCATGTCATTTGTATAGATACTCTGTGGTCAAAAAGTCTGAAAAATATTCACATATTCTGATCCTAGCAATTCAGTACATATATTAGCATATTAAATGCTATGTAGCCCATAGTAAATAAAACCTGCTTCACCCTGCCTAAACTCACTTCAGAAGACAATAATTATTTTTCATAGTATACAATTATCAACAATCTGTGAAACAAACATTCCATGCAATACTGATATAGGAAATGCTAGGTCTAAGTTCACACTCTTTAGTATGCAATGACCTTCAAAATCTGGTCCCAGGTTATTACTTCCACACTTTCTTCAAATACACTCCAGAAATATACTATACCATTTCAAAATTTCCTGACTTTGCACATGTTATTCCTTTCACCTGAAATGGGCTTTGCTTCTAATCTGCCTGGTTAGTAGTTACTCAGTCTTTAAAATAACATGAAATGTAGCTATCTCTTTGAAGCCAATTACTCCTGACAGAGTTCATTATTCCTGCCATGTTCCCATATATACTTTTACTATTATTTGTTTGGTTTATAATCATCTTTTTATGTTTTGTTTTCCCACCATTACAGCTGTTAAAAAATGGGTATAGTACCTGACTAAGGGTAAGGCAAGCACTCATGTATTTGAATTAAACTGCACGTCTTTTGTTAGCCATTCCCACAGGACCTGACATTCATTCTTGTTAAATTTATTTTTTTGTATTTATATTTGGCTCCATATTTTTTTCTGTCCTGTTCAAAATTTTTAGATGCTAATTTTATTATTTAAAATAATAATATTTTATTATTATTTATATTAGGACTCCTTTTACTAGCAAGCCAACAGTGTTCTCAGCTAACTCATTAATGACAATGTTTCATTAATGTTGTGCTAAGATTAGTGCTTGTAACATGGGTGGCATACAGTAAATATTTGCTGATACAAGGTGACGATGAGAGACTGAATGAAGTATTTCACCTGAGATCTGTCTTCTACCTGTCAATCAGATTAACTAGTCCCCGTTGTTCAACTGTCAATTAGTTTCGAATGATGCATTTATAACCTAGTATAAATTTCTGCATCATTTACACAAAGATATCATAAACTCCAAAGAGGGACTCTAGATACACTCCATCAACAGCAATCCTCCCTCTTTTACCACACATCTAGTGACTGTTTCAAAATAACAGAAAACAAGTTTACTATGACATGACTTAGTTTTAGTGAGCCCCTTCTGCCTCTTGCTCCCACCCTGTCCTTTCTAAAATACTTATAAACCACTCTTTATATAAGCTTTTTCAGAATCTCACTAAGGATCACTGTCAAGTCCAGTGGGTTATACCTTTCTGAACATTACTTTCTTATTCCTTCAAAAGAACTTTCTCTGTCCCTTGTATAACAGACTTCATGATTTGTAAAACACTGTCAAAACGGTTCAGAAATCTTATCATGAAGTTCCTGTCACTATCCAAGATGGATTTTTGTCCAAACCAGAAGATATGAATTTAATGCAGTTAAAGATTCTCTTATATTTCCCTTTTCATTTTATCTTTTAGTTCACTATTTTCTGGCTTTGTTCTGTTTTTCTAATATTATATTAAGATTGATAAATTGAAGCTTTACGAAGACAGGGAGTTTGTTTACTATCATGTCTCAAGTGCTAAGATCAGTGCTTGTAACATAAGTGGCACACAGTAAATATATGCTGAATGAATCAGTGAAGATGGAAAACAGGAATGGAATTTTACCAGGTACCTTAAATATTAGATTATGCTTTCGTTCCACTGAGTACCCTAGAAAAACGCCTTTAGCATTTTTTGCTTCAGCCTATTCTAAGTCTTTCCAGAAAATATATTTTTACACATCATTCTTTCATTTCATCCTTGGTTATATCATGTCCTCCTTTCTATCTTTCATACCTGTACTTAAATGTGTGACCTTACCAGACAGCTCCCAGTGTGCCCTCTTCAGTGTTTTTAGGTTCCTTTCCCTTTGGTTCATAAACAGCATCACTGATTGGCAGAAATTGGTTTTGAGGGCCTCCTAACATGCTGACGTTTTTCCTTTGGTGTTTCAGACCCAGACATTACCCTGAACCCCTTGGAGTGCACCTTCCCAAAATTCTGCATACACTTCTATGAGTGGCATTATTGTTTCCATGGCTCACATCAGTTGACTGGAAGATTACATGGTTGCTTTCCCTTATGGTTCCTAATACTTTGCTAATGGTTGCTTGGTGAAGGGAACCAAGCCCTGAGTTCTCTTTTGGAAAGTGAGAAAGTTCACTGGGTCAATAAGGGAAGGAAAAAATTTCACAGCGTATTGATTAAAAAAAAAAAAATTCCAGAAGTTATATGAATAGTTGAAGCTCTACTTTGCAACCATCTTGCCTCTGGTCTGGTTTGGTAATCTGACCTCTCCAAGCTTACTAAAATCCAATTTTAATGAAATCTTATATTTTATCTAATTAGGTATATATAAATAGCTAGTAGATTTGAGACATAATTATTTTACCTGCATCCATTAATGCTAAACTTCCTCCACATGCAGATGCCATAGAAGATGACCCTACAAGAAAGAAATACTAGTTTTAAAAGACTGATTTTTTCTAAATGCAAAAGATTCTAAATATTGGCTATTTAATATTCTTTCTTTCCTTCTTTATAAAAATACTTACAACCTAAACCACTAACTATAGACCTGTGCTGTCCAATGCATTTGGCTACTTACATCTAATTTGGAAAAAAATAAAAAATCCAGTTCCTCTATTGCACTAGCACAGAACATTTCCAACATCATAGAAAGTTCTATTAGTTCTATTAAACACCACTGTGCTAGAAGTTTTGATTCTAAGAAACCTCCTTAAAGGACTAACATACATCTTTTGTTACCTTAATTAGATAAAAGTTAAAGAACAGGGCTCTGATTCTCTCACTGGGCTATAAGCACATTAGCCTAGTCATATGCAATTGAGAATATGAAAGTCTTTAGTCATATGTGATTGAGAATATAAAAGTCTTTAGTTTAAATTCTGAGCTTTCCTTGGTGTTTCTTCCTCAAAATCTATGACCATGTGATCTTTCCATGTCTGTTGCTGCTGTTGTTGTTAGATGTCATCGAGTCATCTCCAACTCATAGTGACCCTATGTACAACAGAACGAAAACACTGCACGGTCCTGTACCAGCCCCACAATCCTTGCTATGCCTGAGCCCATTGTTGCCACCACTGTGTCATCTATCTCGTTGAGGGCTTTCCTTTTTTGTTGACCCTCCACTTTACCAAGCATGATATCCTTCTCTAGGGAATGGTCCCTTCTTACAACACGACCAAAGTAGGTGAGATGAAGTCTGGCCATTCTTGCTTCCAAGTAGCATTCTGGCTGTACTTCATCCAGGACAGATTTGTTAGTTCTTTTAGCAGTACATGGTACTTTCAGGATTCTTCACCAGCACAACTCAAAAGCATCGACTCTTCTTCGGTCTTCCTTATTCATTGTCCAGCTCCTGCATGCATATGAGGTGACTGAAAATACCATGGCTTGTGTCAGGTGCACCTTAGTCTTTAAGGAGTTATCTCTGTTCTTCAGCACTTGGAAGAGTCTTTTGCAGCAGATTTGCCCAATGCAATACATCTTCTGATGTCCTGATTGCTGCTTCTATTGGTGTTGATTGTAGAACCAAGTAATACAAAGTTTTGACAACTTCAGTCTTTTCTCCATTTATTGTGATGCTGCTTATTGGTCCAGTTGTGAAGATTTTTCTTTATATTGGGGTGTAATCCATAATGCAGACTGTAGTCTTCAATCTTCACCAACAAGTGCTTCAAGTCGTCCTCACTTTAAGCAAGCAAAGTTGTGTCGTATGTGTATCACAGGCTGTTAATGAGTCTTCCTCCAATCCTGATGCCATACTCTTCTTCATATAGTCCAGCTTCTCAGATTATTTGCTCAGTATATAGACTAAATAAGTATGGTGAAAGGACACAACCTTGACGCACTCCTTTCCTGATTTTAAACCATGCAGTGTCCCTTTGTTCTGTTTGAACGACAGCCTCCTGGTCTATGTACAGTTTCCTCATGAGTACAATTAAGTGTTCTGGAATTCCCATTCTTCTCAATGTTATTCATAATTTGTTATGATCCACAGAATTGAATGTTCTTGCACAGTCAACATCAAAACACAAGTAAACATCTTTCTGGTGTTCTTTGCTTACAGCCAAGATACATCTGACATCAGCAACTATATCCCTCATTCTACATCCTCTTCCGTGCCTGCTAGTATTTTGATAATAACTTTGTGCCCTTCTTACCTTCAATGACTGTATTTTGTCTTGATTCATGGATTGATTTTTGAGTTAAATGAGATTTTGTAGTCCAGCCTCTGCCTTTAATATCTAATTATTCACTCGTGATATGACAGGTACCTCCCTACAGACTACTCTATTTTGGCCCTTTCTCTCACTGAGACAGCCTTGCTCTGTGGTTTGTTTCTAAAAACAAACAACCAAAATCATATTGTATTAGTGATACATGAAGAGAAATAACTGTTTTATACTGCTTTCAAAACAACTCCTTAACTAAGAAGATTCAGGTAGATACATGATTAATCAAGACAGTTTTTCTTAAAATATATTTGGGCCCTGTAAGAATAAACATAATGTAACATTACTTTTGAAAAGTTAAGATGACAAAAAATCTGGTAATTTCTATGAGGGAAAAAAAAATTTCAATACCATTTGATTCTAGGACTTCAGATGTGACTCTTATGGTGAAAGGAAAATCTCTGGGGATAACAGGAGACAATGCTTTCTCAGCAAGAGCACCTAAATTAAAATAGAAAACAATAAGCAAAAAATGTACTCATTCTCTATAAGAACACCATGTCAAGTTTACAGATTTGAACTCACCATGCCCAAGTTCTCTTCTATTTACACCAGTAACTTTGCCAATTTCGTTAGTTGCGAAAGGAGGAAACTTAAAAAATAAAAATAAAAAAAAATAACTGAGATGGAAAGATGTCCGTGACATCCTAACAAAAGAATGAAACAAGTTAGTATAATCTCAGGTTTGCTAAAAAATTATATACACTAACATATATAGAAAATGTCTGGGTATCTAAACTACACACCAAATTGGTTAATAGTAGCTATCTGTAGTGCGCCTGCGATGCAGCAGGTGGAAAGTGAACAATTATAGAAAAAATTTCCATAATGTTTTCAGTATTAATAAAATTTTAGGCTTTTTGAAAACAAACAAAACATATTTTTAAAAATGCATACTGAGGAAACATAGATCTTTTCCATAGGGCATATATTTTCAGTTTTTAACAACAGAATTATTTAATGTAGAAAAAAAAATATATTTTAGCCATAGTTTGCAAATGGTTTTATGTAACCAATATGTTACATTAAGGAAATATGATTTAGTTGTAATCATTTAAAAATTGGCAGACGGGCAAGCTGAACAGGTATAGGTAGGCAAATGAGACAATACCCATGACCATATATAGACTTGGCAGAGGACATGTCTATATATGTATTTTTATGTGCTATAATATACATCCATGTGTACAGTAGAGCAATTGGGGGCAAAGTTATGAAAACTTGTTAAAGAAAAAAAAAATTAGAAGATTTCACATAAAAATCTGGTATTCTAGTTTCTTTTAACAAAATAACACAAAAAGAAAAATGGAACATGAATCTGGTCAAGACTCAGGATCCAGCAGCAAATTTGCAGGAATTGACAGAGGACAGAGGAATGTGTTGAACTATATATGAGTGTGCACACAGCAACATCCAGACTGTGGGGAACACTAGAGGTCACATGGCTCTGTGGCTTCAACAGAAAAGAACTAAAATAGACTTCAAAAAATATTAAAATTTAAAAAATGGACAAGATTACAGTATCTAGGAATGTACACTAAAAGTGCAAGGAAGTGATTACTGTAAAACTTAATAGTTACAATGTTAATGGTAGAATTTACATAGTAGGCATATGGGTATTCACTGTAAATTCCTTTCAACTTTGCTTTTTCATAATAAAATATTGGAAAAAATTCACCTTACCTCATAGTGCAGCATGAAATTTTTATCTTTTATTCCACTACAAATGAAAAGCATAATATTAAACACATCATATAGATGCAAAGAAATTTATTTCAATAAACAAAAAACTCTCAAGGGAATTTAAAAACACAATTGGAGAATTGGTTTGAAAGAAAAATCAAGAGTATCAGAAAGGTGAATACCAGATATATTATTCTTCTGGAGTTTATGAATGAATTCTACACTGATTTAGATAAATAATTTTCCTTCAAATGCACTTAAATATCTAGATTTAAGTATCAAGACAGTAGACATTTTTAAGCATTAATAGCTACTGAGAGAATCTTAAATTTTGTACTCCATTAGTGAAATCTCACAGTAACGATCTGTCTTCCCATCAACACGTGAAGTAAAGACCAGTAACCGAAATGATATGGCTGAGAGTAATCAGAAGATCTGATAGGCAAACATCTTTTTAGGATTTGAAAAGAGAACAGCTGTGAATCTATCTAGAACAATGGTGAAAAATAAGGATGAGAAAAACATTAGAAAATAATAAGGATGAAGACTTAGAAAAGTCCTGAGCCAAGGCAGAATCTGCATAACCATAAACAGCAGACCTAGGAAAAGAAATCTAAACACCAAACTCTATCAGAAGATTAAAGCACTCATAGATGCCTTTGGGGCTGGAGAGGCAGGTAAAGATCATGTGATCCAGTACCTGAATTTTACAAGAAAAGGACATTGTGGCTGAATGACACGAGCCCCTCACTTACGTGGTTAAAGACAGACCTAACACTAGATGACAGAAGTGCCCTGGCCAAAGCCAGTGCTCAAGAATATTACTTATTATTTATTTATTGTTACCTTCCCTAGAAGAGAAAGAAGACAAAGTGAAGAGAGCATAGCAACCAAATTTTAGCCCAGAATTGTACATAAAATACAGATAAAGTATAAGAGCTTCCAAAAGGATTATGATTTGGATGAGAATTTCAGCCTTATATATACACAGCTGTTGTCAATTTTATCATATACAGGAAAGAAAAAAAAAAAAAAGTGATATTATCCTGAAGGAGCCCTGGTGGCACAGTGGTTAAGGGCTTGGCTGTTAACTGAAAGGTCAGTGGTTCAAACGCACCAGCTGCTCCATGAGAGAAAGATGTGGCAGTCTGCTTCCATAAAGATTATAGCCTAGGAAACCCTACAGAGTAACCCTATTCTATGCTATAGGGTTGCTATGAGTCAGAATGGATTTGATGGTAATAAGTTTTATCCTAAAGAGATTGGAGATTATCCCATGAGATAGGTAGTAGAAAAAGGGAGGCAAAGTCCTCTGGTTTTCTGAGGCCTTAAACCATGGAAAGGAAAGCAGCCCTGTAAGACACCAAGGCAGAGAATAACTATGGTTATGAGTCCTAGGACTCTGATGCAGTAATGTGGTTAAGACTGCAATACAGATTCTTATCATTTTTAGGAACAGGGAAGAAGAGCCAAGTATTCTAGAATACTAAAATCAAATGTGGTGTGTATTAGACAAGGTTTTTAAAATTTTTAACAGCTTCCAGATTCTTATCGGCAGCTGGGACTCTTGACATGATTTATTTACTCTTTTAATAGAGTAATAGAGAAATCCATCCCTTCATTATTCAGGAAATCCATCCTGAGGAATCATTCTAGAGCTAGAGAATAAACTAAATGTATCCACATTAAAGAATTAAATGATCTACCAGTATATATGTCCACGAACCAATGAGCTAGAAGACAACATAGAACAAAAAAAAATTCTTGAACATCACTTAAAATCAGGGCTTCACACTGGTTCTTCCCATTTAACGAAAGAACATAAGAACAGACCCAAATTTGTAAAATGTAGGTGTACTGGAACGATAACTGGAATGGGAGAAATTACAGGTTGATTTCCTGATAGCAATCTGATCTTTCTCTTAGAAAATGAGAGTAGGTGTGCACAGCATAGCAACCAAATCTCCTGACTGTCAGAGGTGGAAACAGCAGCGCCCAGCTCAAAGATGGAGGCCAACTGCTCAAAGATGGCAGCCACCATGCTGCTTTGAATGTGTGTCACTCTCCATAGTCCTCGAAATGATACAATCTATCACATTAGCCTTCTGAAAGTGTTCACTAAAAGCCTCTTCTGAGTCTCCCATTCCAGGGCTTTGGCCTATAATTTTTATTTTCCTTACAGTCTGATGTACCCACATTTTTACAAATTTGGGTCTGTTCTGATTCTGCGGCATTCCACAACTGAACCACTTCAAACTAATTCTAAGCCCTGCTTAAAATCACTATTATGTAAACAGAAAAATGAAGTGGAGAAATATAGGCTAAAAAGTAACCATGAGTAATAATGTAGTACATCAATTTAAATGTTATGCTACAATGTCATAATCTAAAAATATAAACTTACTTTACAGCTGTTATAATTCTATCGGATTTAATACTGGATTCTAATGAATCAAACGTAACAGTACAAAGCACCTAAAAAAGAAAGGGAAAAAAGTTCTCAGGCTTTAATACAACAAAGATGAAAATTAAAAGTATTTGAAAAACGTAATTAGCTCTTAAGTAGGAGATAAGCACCCTCTATACAAAGCTTACCAATATATTTAATAAACATGTATTCACTCTATAAATATTCTTATTATGTGTACTTCTCAATAATCAAAGGCTCAACATCAGACCAATTATGTAGCACAGCACTGTGCCAGAAATGCTGGGGGATGAGGGCAAATAAATGAGATATGATCACTGCCTCAAGGAACACACTCAGCGTTAAAGTAATTAGAATGCTCAGATAATCAGAGAAGTTTTAGAGTATCTTAAGGAATTCATTGTGTAAATTAAGGTACATTTACTATAACCTGAAAGCAACTTGTAATTTGCTTGTGAGTCTGAAGAAATGCTGTGATTGCAACTATATATAACAATGTAACTATGTTATATTCACAGTTGTATCCTTATTTTATGAATTTCCCAGAATAATGACCATCAGTAGTACATATACACTCAATAAATATTTGTGAAGTAAATGAATGAGTAAACATATATGTACCTAACAATACAGACTCAAAATTACAAAGTTGTAACTGACAAGATACAGAAAATTAGAGCAATCAACTGTAGTTTGAGATATCAGTGCATTTCTCATAGAAATCGATAGATCAAGAAGACAATATTAAATCAAAATATAGGAAATCTGAGTAAGAATATATTCAACTTATAAATATATACTGAACTTTAACCAAAATTATATACATTCTTTTCTAGTCTAAATAGAAGGAATATTTATAAAAACTGACCATAAAGGAAGCTTCAGTAATGCAAAGGTTCCATATCATATAGACTATGTTCTCTGACCACAGTGCAAATGAATTAGAAACAAATAATACTAAAAAAAAATCCCTTATGATTTGGACAATAAGCTTCAATGGCTAGTAACATCAAAAGAAAGGGGGGAGGCCTGGAAAACAGGCACTAGCTAGCTGCCTGATTGATGTAAACACCATGATCTATGATGTAATCTTGCAACAAAATTGAATTCCAAAGATCAAGACTCTAAATCTGACTACCAGTTTAGTAGAAATATAGGGGGGGAATCAAGTCATATGTTAAATAGTAGCATAAAGATGCAACCAGCAAAATCCAGTACATGCAAAACCTTTCAAGACAAGTAATCTGGTTTCTTTAACAAACTATGAGGGAAGAGTAATAGAGATGACAAGCAATGCAATACATACATTAAAAGACTTAAGACATTTATCAATCAATTGCAATATATGAATCTTATTTGACCTAATTCAAACAAATCACATGTTGAAACAAGTAGTGAACTTTTGGTAAATAGGACAGTGATACTTGAGGATATTAGGAAATGATTATTAGTTTAGGTATGTTAATGATGTAATGTTTAAAATTGTTTAACCGCCAATATATTATAGATAAGCTGAAATGATGCCTCAAGATTTGCTTCAAAATAAGATTTGCCATGAGTTCATAGTTGCTAAATTTGGGTAACAGGCACAAGGGTGTTCATTATGTATTTCTTTCTACTTTTGAATATTTGTAACTTCACACAACAGTTTATTTCAAACCCTGTATGTCTAAAACAGAGCTTCTCAACCTTGATACTATTAACATTTAGGGCTAGATAATTCTTTGATATGAAGAACTGTCCTATGTTTTTCAGAATATTTAGATGCCAGTAGATGTGACAGCCAAAAATGTCTCCAGACACTAACAAATGTTCCCTAGTCTAGAAACTAAATTAAAACTACCAAATAATAACTTGAATTAAAGAGGAAATAAAAGGGAGAACTGAAAAATAGTTTGAATTGACTGATAATAACAATCTTTCATATCAAAATTTATGGGAAACACTTAAAACAGTACTCAAAAGGAAACATGAATTTAAATAAAATTATTAGAAGATTAGAAAAAAGTTGAAAATGAATGAGTTAATAATGTTCAACTCAAGAAGTTAAAGAAGATTTGGTTTCCTTGGTCTAGAGGTTTAAGGTTATGGTTTCATGAGACATCCCAGTTAATCAGTGGGATATTTTGTTTAGTGCATATTGTACGTCCTAGTTAGTTGCATAGGGTCTCAAAAGCTTGCCAGCAGCCATCCCAAATACAATAATTGGTCTCTATTTGCCTGGAGCAACAGAGGAAGAAGGAGAATCAGGAATGTGAGGAAGAAATGGGATGTGTGGCAAATGCCTCTATGAACAAGTCCTTTCTCATTATACCAGAACTGGATGGTACCTGGCTACTCTTACTGTTTTGATCAAAGATTCTATGGAAGAATCTTGATCCAAAGGGAAAAAATGCAGAAATGAATTTCAAATTTCTATGGAATCCAGTCTTTCTGGAGCCATGGAGGATGACTGAACCCCAACACTATTGCCGTGAGATAATCTTTAAACCTTAAATCAAAAATATCCTCTGAGTCTTCTTAAAAATCAAACAGTCATTTAGCTTAACTAGTAAAGAATGTGCAACTTGAGCATTGTGCTCTTTTAAGAGCTATCTATAAGGGATCAAAATAGAGCTCTGGTGGCGTAGTGCCTAAGGCATCAGACTACTAACCAGAAGGCTGGAGGTTCAAACCCACAAGCTACTCCTCAGAAGGAAGACTGGGCAATCTACTTTTATAGAGATACTGCCTCGGAAATCCAAAGAGGGGTCACTAAAAGTCAAATTCGACTTGAGGGCAGTGAATTTTTTGTTGTTGTTGTTGCTCTATGGGATCAAATTGACAATACCAGAGTGAAAGCTTAGATAATAAACTATGGGGACAGTGAGTTTATGTTGAGGAAGGAACAATTAGGAAAAGGAAGGTAGAATAGTTGTACAACTTATAGAATGTAATCACTGTCATTAAATTATACATGTAGAAATTATTGAATTGGTGTATTTTCTGCTTATGTATGTTCTCTACAACAACAAGAAAAAACAAATTATTTTTAAAAAAAGCTAAAGAAGAAAATAAAGTTCTAAAAAATACTCAACAAACTCAAAGAGAAGGCAGAAAGGAAGAACAGAGAAAAATTAGGGACAAAACTAAAACAAATAATAAAATTCAATCATATCATTAACTAAAGTACACATTAATGGACTTTATTATTCTAGTTAAAAGGCAGAGACTGTCAGCCTAAGACTTGACTGCTAACCAAAAGGCTGGCGGTTCAAACCCACCAGCCACTCCCTGGAAGGAAGGTTGGGCAATCTACTTCCGTAGTGATACTGCCTCGGAAACCCAAGGAGGGGTCGCTATGAGTCGGGTCCAACTCGATGGCACATAACAACAACAACATACAGAACATTGCAATGGAGATACTTACATGAGATAGCCTATATTCATTGTAAAGACTGATTTAAATTGGAAAAATATCCTCTTTCTCAAATTCATAAATTCAGTACAATTCCAATCTAAATCCTAAAAGGATTTTTGACTCTTGATTTAAGTCTTAAATTTATAAGAAGAAACAAATATTCATGCATAGCTAAAGCAATTTTGGGAGGAAAAGGGAGAAGATGGATTTGACTTTTCTGGTATTAAGACATACCCCAAAACCACAAAAATTTAATTAGTTTCATATTTGCTCAGGAAACTCAGAATGATGGAAGAGAACAGAGTTCAGCAATGTATTTATAAACTTTTAATATGATAGTAATATCACAAATCAATGGTAAAACAAAATGGATTATTACCAAATATTATAAACTTGGCTCACTTATGGAGGTTTTCACCTCATACTATATATAGGAATAAACTCAAAGACAGATGAGCGATTTAAATTTTATAGCTAAACCTATAAAGCTATAGAAGGGAACAGTAGGTCCATAATGTAATGTTTTTAAAGTAGGAAGGATTTCTTAAATATGACTCTGAAAGCACAAACCAAAAAAAGTGAAAAAGGGTAAGAATGACCACTAAACTAAAGATTTCAGGTGCACTCTAGACATATCATAGGCTATCACAGATAAAGCTAAGCGACGAATTAACAGAAGGGAAAAATATATACAAAGCCTGGTTTGTTTCTAAAAATGGGTTAATATTTAAAACATGTAAGAAATTACTATAAAATAGCAGAACAAACACTGTAAGCAATATCAAGGAGGAAAAAAAAAAAGCCCAAAGGATGAAAGCAGGCAGGTAATTCATAAAAGAGAAACCTGAATCAGTGCCATCACATTGCACAACTCCAAGAGATAGCATCTATGCGAAGAGTGCCCCCTGGAGAGTGCAGTGTACCATGGGATGGTTTATACAGTGACTGGTGAATGGCAAGTGCTCTAGTTGCACAGTGTTTAACCACCAGAGCACTGGGCTACTAACTGAAAGGTTGGTGGTTCAAATCCACAAGTCAATCCATCATCTTTCTCGATGAGGCAGTCTGCTTCTGTAAAGATTTACAGCCTTGGAAACCCTATGGGGGCAGTTCTATTCTGTCCTTTAGGGTCACTGTGTGCTGCAATCAAATCGATGGCAGTGGGTTTGCTTTGGCTAAGTGGCTAACATTTAAAGAGATACTCAGACTCACTAGTAATCAAAGCAACCAAAATTAAACCCAAGAGATAGCCCCACTTTGTATTCATCATATATGGAAAAATTAGTGAACACAGTAGTGATTAGTATGAGAAAAAAAGAGGAAAAAACCTAATTTCATACACAAGAAAATGGAGGTACAAATATGTAAGTAAACAAACAGAAGGTGAACTGGATATGTTAAACACAAGAGTATGTGCCTAAGGGTGGGGAAGGAATAGGACTGAGATACAGACTAAAAGAAACAAACAAATGAGGACCTTACAAAGACTCAAAAGTGATGGTATACTTAGGGAGTATGGGTGATTCAAATTTGTGCACCTGAGATTAAAAGAAAAACACAGTAAAAATATCAGGTAATTCTAGAAAATGTAAACTAATCTATAGTGACAAAAGCAGATCAGTGGTTGTTGGGGATGTGAAAGGGGATAAGAAGAAGAGGTAACAAACAGGTGACTGAGGTGTTCATTATCTTTCTTGATTGTGTTGATTGTGGTGAGAGTTTCTCAGTTGTATGAATGTCAAAATTTACCAAATCATATACTTCAAAAATGTACATAATATTATATGGGATTTATACCTCAATAAAGCTGTTAACAATTATAGGGTTTTTTAAAAACATGTATTACCTGTGTTTGTCCTCTTTGAAATAATGCTGATCCATGAAGAGTTTTAAACATATCTACCTCACAGTTTATACTCCTAAGTGAAGTCAGATCACGACCATCACACCTACAGTAATAAAGGAAGTAAGTAGGTGAAGCAGTACTGGAAATCAGAAAAATCATGTATTATTTCTTTATTCCTACTAGAAAGTTCTCAACTCCAGTTGCGTAACATAATCACTGGTAGTAAGCCCCACCCTAATAACCACTGAATCAGAATCTCAGGGGTTATGACCTAGGCACCAGCATTATTAAAAAGCACTACAGGTAATTCTGACATAAAGCTAGGGTTGTGAGCCACTGCTCTACACACGAATCAGAGAGACACATCCACACCATCTGTATATTCTTTCTTTTAATAGGTGTCCATTTATAAAATAAATATAATTCTTTACCGTTCACTTGTTTAAAAAAAAATGCAAAAACAGTTCCTTGCATTGGGAAGTTGCACTTCAATACAACTTGCAGAGACAGTGAATGCTTCAATTCCATCAAAAAAAGATATGCTTACCTTTTGTATTCATTCAAAATAATACTTCTAAAGACGTCCTTTGAAACAACATTAAAAGATTCAATTATTTCATATGGATCAGCCTCTGGAAATTTTTCTATGGAAGACAAATCAAAACAAAGGATTTCTCTATTTAGAAGATAAATTTCTCTTAAGTTCAAATCATCAAATTAATGGGAGTAAACCAAGGGAATTGATGTTGAACATTTAGTCATCAGGCAAACCAAGTGGATTAATCAAATGTTCTCAAGAAGGGGAGACACACAAAGCGGTAAGTACCTCAAATGTACTCTTACTGGGGATTCCTTTGCTTTCTACCAGAATTAGAGTGGTTTGAAATTAGTTCCTGATTTTTCTCTACCTGAAAAATCTATTGTTGCTATTGTTAGGTGCAGTTGAGTTGATTCAGACTCATAGTGGCCTTATGTACAATAGAACGAAACACTGCCCTGTCCTGCACCATTCTCACAATCCTTGCTATGCTTAAAGCAAATCTAGCCAACCCAATTATGAAAAGGCCTGCTAGTTTTAAGAATGTTGTTGTTGTTGTTATTTGCCATCCAGTCGCCCCCAGCTCATAGCGACCCCTCCTTGGGTTTCCGAGGCAGTATCACTACGGAAGTAGGATTGCCCAACCTTCCTTCCGAGGAGTGGCTGGTGGGTTTGAACCGCCAGCCTTTCTGGTTAGCAGTCAAGTGCCTTAGGCACTATGCTACCAGAGCTCATAAAGGTGACTAGTTTTAAGAATAGTCACCTTTATTCTTCTGTGTTAGATTTTAACTTTATCTGCAAATTGTGGAACAATTTTGTTTATACAGGCACACCTCATTTTATTTTTGCTTTACTTATGCTTCACAGATACTGAACTTTGTATAAAATGAAGATCTGTAACAGCCTTAACTCAAGCAAGTCTATCAGCGCCATTTTTCCAACAGCATGTGCTAATTTCACATCACTGTGTCACATTTTGGGAATTCTTACAATATTTCAAACTTTTTCATAATGCTATTACATACTTAATAGACTACAGTACAGTGTAAACAAGTTTTATATACACTGGGAGCCCCAAAAATCATGTCACTCGCTTTATTGTGATATTTGCTTTATCGCAGCACTCTGGTAGCACAGTGCCTAAGGCATCTATTTGACTGCTAACCAGAAGGTTGGTGATTCAAACCCACTAGCCACTCTGCAGAAGGAAGCCTGGGCAATCTACTTCTGTAAAGATTTATCCTGGAATCGACTTGATGGCAGTGGGTTTTTTTTTTTTTGATTTGGAACTCAACTTGCAATGTCTCCAAGGTATGCCTCTAAATTACAAATCCTTATCAACACTTAAATTTGATTTTAAAACAATATTTCACAGAGATTTTGGTGAAGGTTTCCACAGCAAGTTAGAATCTTATTCGATAATTTCCATACAAATTATACAGTGACATTAATTACATATCTTACAATGTGTCAACATTCTCTTTAATTGTGTTCAGTTTGCTCCCTTTCCAGTAATCTAGTTTCCCTGCAACCTTGTCTTCTGATCTGAGCAATTGTTAACCTTTTGGACTCATACTGATGGTTTTTAAATAGGGCACCAATCTTAGGGTTAATCTCCTTTGTGTGTCATGCTGCTCTTTTGCAAAATGGTGATCTCAGGTGATAGGCTCTGGTATAAGTTTAACCCTCCCATGACCTGTGGAACATATAGTGCCCACCTACATGATAGCGTAGTGCCTAAGGCACCTGACTGCTACCAGAAGGCTGGCAGTTCAAACCCACCAGCCACTCCTCAGAAGGAAAATGGGGCAATCTACTTCTGTAGTGATACTGCCTCGGAAACCCAAGGAGAGGTCACTATGGGTTGGGTCTGAGTTGATGGCACATAACAACAACAGGGTTTAATGGGAAGCTGGTACCCCACTTTTAGTGCATGCCCTTTGGTGCTGGCCCATACAACAGCATGAATCTGAAGACATGGGCCTTATCCCACCAACCTCCACACCAGAGACCCCTTAGGACGCATGTGTTCCACTAATTGTATCAAAACCCACACTGCAAAATATTTTTCATTTCATTCAAAATGCCTTCCATTACCGAAAACACATAGTTTCAACAAAATATTCAAATCAGAAAATAATTTGGTCTTGAAAGAGCTAAAGAGTGTCTTAAAGTGATAGTCACAGGATATCCTCTACTATTATTCTAGTTGTCTTTTTCTTTTTAAAGTAAGAATTTCAGTTCTGCTCCATATTTTTCTCCTATTTTATTCAGGATCAACTATTGTAACCCTGGTCAGAATGGTCTATGGTAGTTGCCAGGCAACATCTAGTTCCTCTGGTTTCAGGGTAAAGTGCCTCATGTAGACATGTTTCTTCTTTGCACTTTTAATTACCTTATTTCCTCCTGAGACCAAGAGAGGGGTAGTTCTCAGATGGACAGCACTCGCAGCTTTTAAGGCCCCAGACCCTACTCACTTCACTACGATGCAAATCATGATTTTTGTGCACTATGTTATGCCAGTTGACTGAGTTAATGTTAGGTGTTTGGTTATGTCTGAGGAGTATCTGTATTTGTGTCTTCAATGAATATATGGGCCTGCACCCAAATATTTGTGTTTATACATACTTACAGATATTTCTTTCTTTTTAAAATACATTTTATTGAAATATAATTTATGTACAGAGAAAAACACAAAGCTAAAGTGACATGGGTCAATGCATTTTTTTTTTGTAGTGTTCCCTCCCCACCCCTCCCACCCCTGGAAACCAATAAAAAAGTTCCCCTCCATATATAAACCTTTCCTTGACTCTCCACAACACGAACTAATACTATATTTGTCCTTCTGTGATTGACTTATTTCACTCAGCAAAATGTCCTCCAAGTTCATCCATATTATGCGGTGTTTTGCAGACTTTATATTATTCTTTAGTGCTGCATAGCATTCCAGTATGTGTATGTACCATAGTTTGGTCATCCACTCTTCCGCTGATGGGCACGCAGATTGTTTCCATCTTTTTGCTACTGCAAATAGTGCAGTGATGAACATAAGCGTGCATGTATCTGTCCTATCCTGGCTCTCACCTCTCTAGAATATAAACCTAGTAATGGGATTGCTGGGTCAAATGGTATCTCCAATATCAACTTTCTAAGGAATCGCCATATTGTTTTCCACAGTCACACAAGCAGTGTATGAGAGTCCCAATCTCTGCACATCCCCACCAGCATTTATTATTTTCTGTCTCATTGAACCTTGTCATCAGTGCTGTGGTGAGACAGTATTTCTCATTGTTGTTTTGATTTACATCTCTCTGATGGCCAATGATTGTGAGCATCTTTCATGTATTAGCTGACCATCTGAATATCCTCCTTGGTGAAGTGTCTATTCATGTCTTCTGCCCATTTTTCAATTGGATTGTTAATTCCTTTGGTGTTGAGGCGTTGGAGTTTTTCAGCATTCTTAGAGATAAGTCCCTTGCCAGATATGTAATTATCAGCAAATATGAATTTGTTGCTGTCATTTTTGTCATGTGCTTTTTCATTGTGTTGATTTCTTTGTTCCATATAATTTTCTATGCTGAGATCGTTTTGTTTATGAATCATGTTATCACTTCCTTCATTACTATTGTTATAGAATTTGCCGAATATTTATGCTGGTCCTCTTTTTTATTTTGATATGAAGGTTTATCATTTTTCTTTGAGGTTACTCTGTGATTTATAGTTTTCTTCCCAAGTTTAGAACAGTCCAATCTATCTTATAGTTGTCTTGACTTCCCTATAATCTAGAAGTTCTGTAATGACACAGATTTTTTTCACTCTTTTTGGTTTGTAGTTGTCCTCATTTGTCGGTTGGTGTCTCTGGTTCCCTGTTTACAATCTTGAGGTTTATTTACTTTGGATACTTCCATAGCTGGGTTGGTTTCTGGGTTATATCAGAATGTCTGTTAATAGTCAGCTGTTGTTGCTTCTCTGTCCAAAGGGCTCCCTTTATCATCTCTTGTAAGGCTGGTCCAGTTTTAACAAATTCCCTTCATTTCTGCTTATCTGGAAATGTCCTAATTTCACCATCATATTTGAGGGACAATTTTGCTGGGCACATAATTCTTGGTTGGAAATTTTTCTCTTCCAGTGTTTTATATATACCATCCTACTGTCTTCTCACCTGCATGGTTTCTGTCAAGAAATCCGAGCTTAGTCTTATTGGTTGCCCCTTGTAGGTAACTTTTCATTTTTCCTGTGCTGCTCTCATGATTCTTTGTCTTTGGTTTTGGTGAGTTTGATCATGATATGTCTTGGTGTTTTTCTTTTGGGGTCTATCTTGTTTGGGGTTTGTTGTACTTCCTGAATGGATATATTCTCATCTTTCATCATATCAGGGAAGTCCTCCTTCAATAAATCTTGGACAATTTTCTCAGTGGTTTCATTTTTCTCTTCCTGTTCTGGAATTCCAATGATATGTAGGTTATTCCTTTTGATGGTATTCCACATGAACCTTAGGCTTTCTTCATTTTGTTTTGATTTTTTTTTCTGATTGATCCCTTTCCAAAGAAGTATTCAGGTATTTGTCTTCAATCTCATTAATTCTGTCCTCCATTTCATCAATTCTACTCCTGTGCCCTTTCAATGTGTTATCTATTTCTGACAATTTAGTATCAATCATCTGGATTTCTATCTGTAGATTTAGAAGTATTTTCTAATTTTTTCATTGATTTTGTCATTTTGTTCTTTTATTTTCTTCCAAAATTCTTCTAGGGTTTTGTCTGTGTTTTCCCTGGTCTCTCTCTCAATCCTTTGAAGATACCTAAATATAATTATTTTGAATACCTTATCAGGAAGTTCCAATGCTGCGTCTTCCTCAGGGATGTGTTTTGGGTCTGTATCCTGGACCCTTGTTTCTCCTGCTTTATCTTGCTTCTTTGTGTGGACTGTGATGTTCTGTTGTCTCTGAGGCATTGTGATGTTTTTGTGTTGACATTTAATTGGTGATTATATGTTGGAGTGACTTGCCCACAATTTTCATTTTTTTTGTTTTGTGTGTTATCTATACAGGCAGGGTACTGTGCTGTGCTCCTCTATTCACTAGTTGACGGCACTTACACACTCACC